CAGAGTTATTTGTCGCAAAATCTGAGCGCCGATTCGTCTGGGACATCATTTTTCACCAGGTAAACTGTTGCCACCTGGTTCCTCTCAGTAATAGCTAATGTAAAAATTACCTTAATTTGAGAATTTAATCAAATGCTGTCGTAATGTGTTGGAGCACAACTTCACCTTTTCCGCAGGGCTGTGACTTTTAAAATTTTGTTTGCTGCGTGATTGGGCGATCAGCCCAGTACTTGCGATCCTGGTTTTTGTTTCGTCGGATTTACAATCACATTACAGATTAGCGGGGATTAACTCAGGGAATGTAACGCTGTTTGTCATGATCAATAATCTAATGTCGACATCTGTAGGGCCAGAATCTCCGGCCCGTTATTGCCCGTAGAATGACTGACGGTTGACGCAAATTTCGTAGCATCTCGATATCTGTAAGGCCAGAACCTAAGATGTGCCAAAACTCCAGCTCGATACCGAGGGACTGACGGTTGACGCAAATTTCATAGTATTTCGATATCTGTAGGGTGTCGAACTGGAAGAATCGTGCCCAGCTCTCCAATACAACTGTATTTTCTCGAATACCGCTCACCCAGTGCGTGGCCGGGGGAGCTAAGAACGAAGGATGCTTGGTGTGTCTTTTTGTGCCTCAGATAGGCGATATGCAAAAAATACACTGTAACCACGCTGAAGAATGATGAACAGGGCATGTTGTTGACTTTGCTGACAACTAATGGACATTATGTATTAATAACTGACACTCATAAGGAATTAAACGAGTGGTGGGGTTGACTTCCGTAGAGGTGGCGCACATACATCGAACAGACAGTGGACACCAGCTATAAGGATAAAGTCCAGAACCGATATTGGTAACATCTCAGTAATGCCAGAACCGTTGGAACCATACATGAATTGTCCGAGCGGTCGTTATATTTTTGGCATATTTTCAGCAGTAGACATTCAGTAAGCTTCGATGACAATATTTTCTTCAAGCATTCCACACCAATAAGCAGTAATCGATCACCATACACAGAAAGGCATTCAAGTCATTCAGTATCTCTATCCGCAAAAGTTGGCTCTTCGCCGAACAGCCGACCCAATTCTTCGTTCCAGACGAGTAGACAGCTGGAAGAATATCTTCGTACAAGGTAAGCAGACAGTAGCTCCAAAATACTTTGTTTCTAGATTTCGCAGAATTTTACACTTTCTTTGCAATGTTGCCACCAGTTTACCATTGACGGCCTAATCTTCTGTTTAATTTTTTGCAAAGCAGTTATTTGAATTTCTGGAAGAAATTACACCACCTTAATTTTAACTATTTTTGCAAAAAATTCTTGCTACGTAGTAAATTCGGGTTGTTTTAATTCCCATTCTTATTCTGTGTCTCGTCTTCTGCATCGTTCTTGCCCCTGTTTTGTGCACAAGCAGTCTGTAAATGCACCTTGCACCTCTCGCTGTGCTGCATTCGGCGGGCCCGTACGCGGGTACTGCGCTTACCCGGGGATGGGTTTCAGTGCATTAACACCTATTTGGACGGGGAGCATCCCTCTAAGATTTTAGCGTTCTAGCTTCTCAGATCCCCGAGTTATGAACTTACCATTTTCTCTAAATTGTTAAATTTTTTCTTTGCGAGAAAAATCAACTTCAGCATATCAAGCGATTTTTATTTTTTTTTTAGTCCACTGTGCGAAGAATCGCCGTGCAACAGCATACCGCCACATTCAGCATCGTTCGGACCCGAAGTCTCCGCCGCGTACAGTCTTAGACTTTCGCCGCCGTTTCGTTTTTTACGTTCCGGAAGCACAAATTATGAAATGGGGACTGCTATGTTCGCTGACGAGCAGGGAAAATCGACATCTGATGAGAACAGTGTTGTCTCGCTGGTAACAGGTACGCCGCCGTCGCCTTAAATTGAAATATCGTGGAAATGGCTTGTAACTGTATTAGTTTGAAGTTCCCAACTGAAATACAAGCAACCCTACACCGGTTATTTCAAATTTTTAAGGCAAATATGAATTTTTATTTTTCAGTTCTGTAAAATGTTATATGAGTGTTCTGGTACCCATACTTTGTTACGCGCACGATCCTCGAATCTCATTTTGATTGAGTCCAAATCTAAGGATTTTGGCTGCCCGGTATTTTTCACAGTTCAG